TAGACTTTATTACTAAAAACCTTCTCTAATACCAATTATTAGTGTGGTGCACCACTTAGATACATGTATAAGAACTTGGTTCTTATATATACTCATTCGTTAAACAACTGAAATAGTAAAGTGCAAAATCAAATACACAAAAGATTTTTACGTGAAAAGCCTCCTTTCTCAAGGGAGTAAAAATCACGACCCACCTCTGGGATTTCTCATAAAAACTTCACTAAAACAACGAGTAGTTTCCGGTTACAAAACTCTTATAACCTAGAGACTCATTCCTAGCCACTTGACTGCCTACAACTACTCTGATTGTAGCAAAAAACGCAAGCTAACTCTAGCCTAAGATTTGAGTTCTCTCACAGAGAAAACCCCCTCGAAATGCTTCTTGTATAAGCAAATAAGATTACAACTCACAAGCCTAATACAATTAACTAGACTAGACACAATGAATTTGACAATGTATCAAGGAACAAGTTCTCTAGTCTGGTTCTTCTGCGCGTTCCAACCTTCAATATCCACTTTAGAATTTTAAATTTGTTTTTTCTCACTTTTCTCTAAAGAAATAATAGAAGTGTATACCTACAATGAAGTAAACTTGGATTACATATAGGTAACACGTAAGTAGCATAAAGATTTCAAATCATAAAAAGAAACAAATAATAAGAGACCTACTTCATAAAGAACTTACCATATATGACAACATTGTTTTCCTTATTTGTTTCCTACTCCAATTCTAACTCTTTTCCAGTAAGAAACCTGTTTTAATTTCCACCAATTTCGTACAAAATATATCCCTTAAAGATCTCCCTCCTAACGCTAGAGAATAAAGTAAGTATAGGAAAAATATGATCTTTTTTCCTAAAATAAATCCACTTTTAACTCTACTTCCTTACAGACTTGGTCTCCAAGTTAACAATAAGGATTTACCAAGATTCTCTATTATCTAGGTGGTTAGTGTCATGACCCAAATACCTAATCAGTCGTGATGGCGCCTATCGTTGAACTAGGCAAGCCAACATTCTCAATATGCTTTCAATATATAACAGAAGTGAGCTAAAGTAATTAAACTAACTGAAGGTTTACAAAATAATGGGGTAAAAACCCAAAACACAAGTGCGGAATGATAGTCCAACATCGGTGTGTCACTAAGTCATGAGCATCTATCAACAAATCTAGAAAAAGAGTCTACTACAGTCTGTGCCAAATGCCAATACAAGAGAGAAAAGATAATAAGAAAGGAGAAACAAGGACTACAGACGCCGGCAGCTACCTCGTAAGTCTCCGATAATCAGCTCGCGCACGAACTCAGCGACCGTCAGAACCGTACACACCTGGATCTACACATGAAGTGCAGGGTGTAGCATGAGTACAACCAACTCAGCAAGTAACAAAATTAAATAAGGAACTGAGAAGCAGTGATGAGCTATTAAAAAATACAGATGATTTCAAAAGTTTTCAGTAAAGGGTGAACATGCTTTCAAATCCGGTGGTATAAGTCAAATCAGTTCGAGCTCAAGTAAGACAAATATGAATCTTCCAGAAATTTGACAACAACAAATAACAACTAAGTGCAACAATAAATAAAAGCAAGTACAGCCTCTCAAGGCAGCAGTCACTCAACTCATCTCAACAGCTCATACTCTCAGCCCTCAATACACACTCTCAATAGGTACCTGTGCTCATTGGGGGTGTGCAGACTCCGGAGGGGCTCCTTTCAGCCTAAGCACTATATCGCTGCGGCGTGCAGCCCGACCCAATCATATAAGTAGCCATACGGCTCCTTGCGGCGTGCAACCCGATCCACAATCCATAAATATCCATAAGGCTCGTTGCGGCGTGTAACCCGACCCAATCATATAAGTAGCCATACGGCTCGTTGCAGCGTGCAACCCAACAATCTTCTTGAAGATACCTTGAATAATCGCCTCACACCGAGCTCTCAAAGTCCCAAAATCAAAATGGGAATCAAACCCTCGAAGTTCCATTTTCTGCTCAGTTCTTCCGCACCTGCGGACATTCTGTCGCATCTGCGATGCCGCACCTGCGAAAATTCCATCGCAGGTGCAGATCCCATTTAAGCTCCCAGACTTTGCATCTGCAGTCACTCATTCTCACATGCGGGCCCTGCTCGCTTCTACAATTTTTCCCACCCTGGCCTTTTTCCGCATCTGCGCCTCCCCTTCCGCATCTGCGGTTTCGCAAATGCGCTCCTAACCTCGCACCTGCACTTCCATTCCAACCCAGTCTTACCCGCATATGCATCCTCCTCTTCGCTTCTACAGGGCCGCACCTGTGGGTTCCCACCGCAGGTGCAAAACACCAGAACGCCAGAAAAAAACCAGCAATGCCTAAGTCCAAATTTCATTCCGATGGGCATCCGAAACACCCCCGAGGCCCCCAGAACCTCAACCAAACATACCAACAAGTCATATAACCCTATGCAAACTTAGCCAAACCTTCGAAGCACTCAAAACAACATCAAAACACCAATTACACCCGGATTTAAGCCTAAAGAACTTCTAAACTTTCAAATTCCACAAATGACGCCGAAACCTACCAAACCACATCCGATTGACCTCAAATTTTGCACACAAGTCATATTCAACATTACAAACCTATTCCAACTTCCGGAATTAGAATCCGACCCCGATATCAAAAAGTCAACCCCCCGATCAAACTTCCCATAATTTGACTTTTGCCATTTCAAGCCTAAATTAGCTACAGACCTCAAATTCACCCTACGGACATGTTCCCAAGTAAAAAATTACCCAACGGAACCGACGGAACTGACGAAACTCCATTCCGGCGCCGTCTTCACACAATTCCGACTACGGTCAAAATTCCTAGACTTAGCTTTCGTTTTAGGGACTAAGTGTCCCAAAACACTCCGAAATTAAAAACAAGACCTCTCGGCAAGTCACATAAGCAGAAACAGATACGGGAAAAACAGTAAATAGGGGATAAGGGCTAATACACTCAAAACGACCGGCCGGGTCATTACAGTTAGTAGGTCATAAAATACGAAATAAGATAATATCTCTCTCAAAAGTAAATCCTACTCCCCCTAGAATTAAGTGTCAACACTCTGCAAGACCAACCCAGTAGGACCAGGTCCTTCACCAGGTCCTTTGGCCGACCCAATATATCTGCCATGTTTGTTAATCATCAAAACCAAAACTCTCCAATTCCCAACAATTACATAAAATTAGGTAATCACCTTATATCTCAACCACCCAGAGCAGGTACCATACATATACAACAAGCACACAAACAGGCACATCAACACCAACACCTAAATCTATTTTCCCCCTTTTGGCATCATCGAAAAAAAAACAAAAAGAAGTTAGACAGACTAAGCACAGTTAATGCAAGATTCATGGCCATTTAGGCTACAACCCAAGCTCAAGAATTATAAAAAGAAAATAAACTAAGCTGATGATATAACCATGTGCGAAGCAGTAAAACAACATAAGAGAATTCATTTAGCAGTTCCAAATTAAGCCCAGGGCCTTGACTCAAAGCATTAGAGCAAAATAAACTAAAACATCCTGCAACCTACTCAGAACTAGAACAAAAGAAGAATAACTAAAGCACCACTGGGTTAACAAAACAAGCTGAAGACATGGAGTAAAGGACCAGGGTCAAGGGTGAGAGGAAGAGGGGGTCAAGGCTTTCAAAAGGATGGCAATCTATTTGGAATGAGCCTCTTTATCCCTTCTGAGCTCCTCCCTAAGCTGCCGGGTTACTTTTCTCAACTCATCATTGTCTTCTCTAAGCTTGGCATTATCCTCAAGAGCTAGCTCCAACCTTTTAGAGAGCTCTGCTTCCCTGCTGCTACCAGGTAGAATAGCAGAACATGTTGGTCCCCTAGCCTTGATCTCCTCATACCCACACTACTTGAGGGTAGAAGCATCCATAACATCATTGTGATTTCCAAACGTAAGCTCAGGCAAGGCAATATTGAGTTTGTCAAACACCTCAGTTAACATGAAGCCATAAGGCATAGCATACTTAGGCTTGGAAGTGTCTGCAGCCCTTGCCATGTGCTAAATCATCAGGCTAGGGAGATTGATAGCTCTACCTGTATCAAGTAGTTCCATCACAGCCATGTCAAACAGGGTAGCCTCATGCCTTCTCTAAAATCTCTACAATATGAAGGAGTTCACAAAGTGAAACAATAGCTTGTCAAAAGGAGTCATATCAGTCTTGTACACCTTTTGGGGAGCATCTAACTCAAACTTCTGAGAAAACTTCCTGGTGACCACAGTTTTTGTGTCCACGTCATTGTCTGTGGCTGGATACTTTTTCTTCAAGTAATTGTCAAAACCTAAAGAGGGAATATTCAGTAGCATCCCAAGCTCTTCAGCATCAAACTCCATCTCAACCCCCCTTACAGAACTCTTAACCACTTTGCCATAAAATTGGAACTTTGCTTAGAACTCCACCACAACAGGCACACACATGAGGGAATGCCTTAACAAACATGTGTCTCTATCCCTGTAGTTCAAATTTTTCAACTAATTGAGCCATACCTTTCTCATTAGTGTTTGCAAGAATCTTCCCGTTCAACACTTTTCTATTCCTGAATTCAGTAAGCTTGTCAACCGCAACAAGAATAACCCTCTTTTTCTTTCCTTTACTAGCTTTCTTGGATGTGGTAGCTGCCCTGGTGGGTTTAATAACCTTCCTATTTGTGCTGGTGTCTTTTCTTGTATAGTCGAGTTAGACTCATCCTCATCACTCAACTCAACTATAGGTTCAACCGTAGGAGCTTGCTTTCTTGGCTTCTTGGCACCTCTCGACTCCTTAATGATCTACTCATCAATATCCTTTATTTTACTCCTTGTGAGAGTAGTTCGAGAAGGAGGGGCCACTTCTTTTCTTGCAGGGATAACTGATTTTATTATTTTTCACAGGGGCCTTCTTGCTCTTCTTGCTACTTTAGGCAGGGGTAAATCATCCTCATCACTGCTGACCTCCTCATGAGTTATCAAAGGCCTAGTTTATTCAGCCCTTTTCTGTCCATTTGCTTCTTCTAAAGGGGCTATGACACTAGTCCCAATAGCCATCGAGCCTTTAGATTCCCCACCTGCATTCTCTTCCCCACTCTCACGTTCAGTACTCTCACTTTCACTTCCCTTTTCTTCTTTCTCACCTTCACTCTCAGAGTCTCCTTCTTCCTTACTATATTTTTCTTCCTCTCAAGAATCTCCCACTTATTTACCTAACTTATCTTCTACCTCACTTTCCTTTTCCTCTCTAGATTCCCCATTATTCTCACTTTTTTTCTCATCAGTATCATGAGCCATATACTGAGCCTGGTACTCCTCACGACTAGCTACCTTTCCTCTTTCTTCCTCTCCTTCATCATCACCCTTATCCTCAGTTCAGCTGAAAGAGAGACCATCAGAAGCCTCTTTATTCACTGGTTCTTTATCACCTTCCCCCTCAACCATAGGTATGACATTTGTAGTATCTACCCTTTTCTCCTGAGTTGCAGTGTCTGTTTCTAAAGTAGGTTCCTCCACTCGTGGTTTGTCACTTATGGGTGGAATAATTTCTAAGGGTGCAACTTCAATAGCAGAAACCTGAACATCTAACTTTGATGGAGGTAATTTTACCTAATCAGTAGTAATTGACACAGATTCCCCCTGAGCTACAACTTCCTTAACCACCATGTCCTCCTTAGTAGCAACACGAATCACCACTTTGTCACTCTTAACAGATTTTCTTGATGTAGCCTTGATCTTAGTGGGTTTAGAGGTCGAAGCAGACACAGGTGCATGTGAAGATGGTTTTGGGGATGAAGGTCTAGTAGAGGTGGGAATATTGGGTGCAGCATGAGCAGGGAATGATGGTGCAGGTACAATAGAGGGTATAAGTGGAGAGGGAACATGTGTAGGTGTAGGTTCACTGGTTGTTTTTGCACTTTTCTTTGGTTTGGGCTTCATGTTCTTGGGTTTGACTTTAGTCTTGGATGAGGATTTTGCTTTAGGGGGAGTTTGGCTTGATTTAGGAATGGTGATGAGAGAATGAAATTGATGAATGAACTAGAGAAAGTTTTCTTGATTCTTGCTTAGGGTTTGAGAGGAACAGTGAGGTCTAAGAGAAGGATCACAAGATGGATTTTAAAGAGGGTAGTCCTGATTTGACCGGAAGAAAGAGAGTAACTGAATTTGAGTTTTAACGGGACTCTAATAACTATTACTTTGGACTATTAACTGTTAGGAGTAATTAGACTCTAATTGCTCTATGATTCCCCCTTAATACTTGACTATATGACAAATAGGAGCGATGCTAACAAGATTAGATAGTTTGAGTATAGCAGTAATTTTAGATATTAAGCCCCAATAAATTAAGACAAAATGACATGTACCTGAGTCAAAGAACCAACTCCTTACTCATTTCTGTAATAAAACTTCAGCACTATATATTAGCATCATAAGACATAGTTATCAGCTAGACTTTTCTGGGTGAGTGTGTGTGCTCAAGACAAGAACGACACTGAATCAAGCACATTATACTCGACTGTCTACATCTAATTATAAATTCTTATAGCTAATCATTAGGGTTCAACCTAGTTGGAAGTATTAATTAGACCGATTTCCACTCTGTTCCTTTCAAAGTGATCCCTATTAAGAGCTTTAGTAAAAATATAAGCAATTTGGTCTTCAGTTTTACAGAAGTTAATTGAGATATTTCCCTTTTCAACATTGTCTCTGAGAAAGTGATGTCTAATGTCAATGTGCTTGATTCTCTTGTGTTGGAAAGGGTTTTTAGCAATGTTTATGGCACTAGTGTTGTCACAGAAAATAGGAACACAATCAACAAAAATAATATAGTCCCTTAGTAGTTGTCTTATCCACAACAACTGAGCACAACAAGATGCTTCTACCACATATTCTACTTCAGTTGTAGACAAAGCCACTGAGTTCTGCTTCTTTGTTCCCCAAGACACCAGGCAAGAACCAAGAAAGTGTGCCGTTTCTGAAGTGCTTTTCCTATCAACACGAAAACCTGCATAGTTAGCATCAGTATAACTAACTAGATCAAAGTTGTACCCTCTAGGATACCACAAACACAGATCATGAGTCCCTTTAAGATATTTGGGTATCCTTTTGATAGCCTTCAAATGAGACTCTTTGGGATTTGCCTGAAATCTTGAACACAATCCCACACTAAATATAATATCAGGTCTGCTTGCTGTGAGATACAACATTGACCCAATCATTCTCCTATATAGCTTCTGCTCCACACTTTTCCCTTTTTCATTAAGGTCCAACTTTGTTGCAATGGCAATAGGAGTGTCTATGGACTTAGAAGAGCCCATGTTGAATTTCTTTAGTAGTTCCTTGATGTATTTTTGCTGATGTATCATGGTTCCAGTAGATGTTTTCTTGATTTACAACCCCAAGAAGAAGTTCAATTCACCCATCATGCTAATTTCAAATTCATTCCCCATCATCTCAGCAAATTCCTTGCACATTTCTTCATTAGTAGCCCCAAATATAATATCATCCACATATACTTGAACAATTAGAAGATTTTTGCCTTTATTCCTTAGAAACAATATGTTGTCCACCTTTCCTCTTACAATCAGAAGCTCTTGGAGCATGTTTCAGTACATACATGGCTTTGTCTAACTTAAACACATAGTTAGGAAATTCTTCACTCTCAAACCCAGGAGATTGTTTAACAAACACTTCCTCCTTCAGGTAACCATTCAAAAATGTACTCTTTACATCCATCTAATACACGGTGCACTCTATGTGTGCAGTAAAAGCTATTACCATTCTTATAGCTTTCATTCTGGATGCAGGTGTAAATGTCTCATCATAGTCAATTCCTTCTTCTTAATTGTATCCCTGAACCACCAGTCTGGCCTTGTTCCTTATGATATTTCCTTGCTCATCCAGTTTGTTTCTGAATGCCCATCTAGTACCTATGACAGTTCTATACTTAGGTCTTTGCACCAAGTGCCAGACCTTGCTTCTTTCAAACTGATTCAGCTCATCTTGCATGGGTATAATCCAATTTGGATCCTTTAGAGTTTTCTTTATATTCTTAGGTTCAACATGTGAGAGGAATGCTGTAAGTGCACATAGGTTTCTCAGAGATGATCTGGGTGGGTTTGCACACCAGCATTAGGATCAGAGATGATGTTCTCAAGGGGGTGTGAGATTTGATGTTTCCATGGTCTAATATGCATTCCCAGAGATGGAGTGACCTAAAGGACCAGTGTTAGTAGGTACAACTTCATCTGTGTGGGTAGCAGTCAGAGTAGTTCTCTCTTCTTCTTATTCTTCCTGATCACTTTCAACTTCCTTAGGATCTCCTGATCCATTTTCCTAGGGCTTCTTTGCCGTTATTGTTCACAAAATACTTGCACCCAAAAGCTCTTAGGTGAGTTATGTTGAGCTTTCTCCCTCGAAGTAACTCATAGGGAGTTTTCTCAAGAATGGGTCTGACCATGCATCTGTTTAGCAAGTAATAAGCAGTATTGACTACCTCATCCTGAAAGCTCTTAGGCAGTCCACTGGCAATCAGCATGGTCCTGCCCATGTCTTCTAGAGATCTATTCTTTCTTTCCACACCACCATTTTGTTGTGGAGTTCTAGGTAAAGAGAAGTTATGATCAATGACATGTGTTCTACAGAACTTAAGGAATTTAGAATTTTCAAACTCAGTTCCATGGTCGGTTCTTATACTTAAAACATCACATCCCAGTTTCTGTTGGATTATTCTGAAAAACACACAAAACATCAAAAGTTTCATCCTTGGATGCCAAAAAACAGTGTTCATGTGTACCTAGAAAAGCCATCTACAATGACAAATACATACCTCTTGCCTCCTATGCTCCTCACTCTCATTGGTCCACATAGGTCCATGTGAAGGAGTTCCAGGGGTTTAGAGGTGCTGACAACCTTTTTAGATTTAAAAGATGACCTTACATGTTTCCGTTTGACACAAGCATCACATACTTTGTCTGAGGTAAACTCAACTTTTGGTAGTTCGAGGACTAGGTCTTTGCTGCCAACTTGCTGAGTTGAGATAGACTAGCATGTCCCAGTCTTCTATGCCATAACAACAAGTCATCTTCCACTACACTTAAGCATGTGCGTTTACTTGAGGAAGATACATAATGGATATCTTGTAAACATTGTTATGTCTCTTACCTTTTAATTCTTTTTTATCAGTATCAAGCTTAGTGAGAGTGCAGAGTATGTTTAAGACCTACTACATAATACACATCTTCTATAGCATGAGAGAGTGACTTACCAACCTTACGAATACCTGTTATCTGGCCCTTTTTCCCATTTCCAAATGACACACTCCCTCCTTAAAAGGCTGTCAGTGAGAGGAAGTTTTTCTTTCTCCAGTCATATATCTTTAGCATCCACTATGTAGATATCGGTCTTGATTATTTCCTCTCACTTTAGCCTACACCAGAAATCACAAGTTAGTCTTGGAAACCCAGACAAGCTTGGGCCCATTTTTATTTGAAAAATGATGAATTAGATCTTTTCTTGCATAGAAGGGAAGAGGATTAATAGTTGTTTTCTTGTTGACCTTAATCCACTTAGTTTGGACAAGGGACTTGACTTTTGGTTCTTCTTCCTTCTTCACATTGTTAGCAAGACCAAAAGTGTTCTTAAACTGAGCATGAATTAAGGCAGGGAAAGTATCTCTAAAGTGTCCTACTGTGATGACCCAAAAGGTCATCTTTAAATTTAATAATTATTTCTGTGTCCTAAGATCACGAAAAGTACTATTCATCATTCCTCGACTTGTGTGCATAGTCCGTATAATTTTTTGAAAAGTTTTTATATGAAAAATTGATTAAAATAAGAAATAGAGCCTTAAAACTCAACTGAGTTGACTTTGGTCAACATTTTGAGCAAACAAACTTGGATTAGTATTTTGACAGTTCCGGTAGGTCTGTATTGTGATTTGGAACTTGGGTGTATGCTCGAAATTTAATTCGGAGGTCCCTAGCTCGAGTTATCGCATGTTGTTGAAATTTTTAAGTTTCAAGGTTTAATGACTTAAGAGATTTGACTAATGTTTGACTTTGTTGATATCGGGTCCGTATTTTGGTTTCAGAACCCGGTATAGATCCATTACTATATTTTCTGCCAAATTTGGTGAGAAACGGAGCTGGTTTGACTTGATTCGGATGTCCGGTTGTTAAAATATAAATTCTAAGGTTTTCGTAAATATTTCATTTGATTTTGGCATCCTATTCATAGTTCCAGGTGTTAAATTAGTGTTTTGATCGCGCGAGCGAGTTCGCATGAGGTTATTGGACTTATGTGCATGTTTGGTTTGGAGCCCCGCGGGCTCGGGTGAATTTCGGATAGGCTACGGGTGGTTTGGAACTTATAAAATCTGGTTTTTATTTAGCTTTAGTTGTCATCTGGTTTTCTTCTATGCGATCGCTTGGCTACATCCACGTTCGCGAAGGCTTAATGGCACTGATGAAAAATTGAAACTATGCTATCGCATAGTAATGTCCACAATTGCACAGTGGCAGCATGCAAAGCACTGCGAACGCGAGGGCCAAGCCGCGTTCGCGTAGGAGAAATAAAGGTAGAAGCTGGGCACGACATTTGTGTTATGTGATCGCATAAGGCAGTACGCGATCGCGTAAGGCTGAGAAAATATTCTCAGCGATCGCATAAGCCCTTCTGCGTTCGCGTAGAGCAAAGTTGGACAGCCTAAAAAAAAAATGTGCTTCGCGATCGTGAAGCATTGTCCGCGATCGCATAGGGTAAAAACCTGGGCAAACATAACTTAAGTTCTGTAAATGGGATTTCGACCCATTTTCTACCATTTTCGATTATGAGCTCGGGTAAGACGATTTGTGAGCGATTTTCACGGGAAAATATTGGGGTAACTGTTCCTTATCCTATATTGATTATATTTTATGATTCCATACTTATTTACATCA